TAGGACAGCTTTCAAGGCACAGAGAATTCTGTGATGGTTGTCTTTTGGCATGGGGCCTTCAGCGGTAGAGCCTGGCATGAGTATGGCTGAACATGGGTCTGATGAGAGCCTGTTGTTGTTGGAATCGGTCATCCTGCAGGAACCAGCTGAGACCTTGAGGTAAAATGAGTGTAGCACCCCCTTCCCCAGTCAGCACTATCCCAGCACAGGATAACATTACCGGTGGCTCTAAAGGGGTGATCTACAGTAAAATGAACTAACGGGTCTCCCTGTCTTTCCTCTATAAGAAACCTCTATTACGGATCCGCAGCACACCAGCACACCTTGAGTTACTAGGGTCGGTTGCTATGGGTAAAGACAGCACCGATTCTTCTTGTCTAGAGATACATCCAATTGCTTCTGCCCACCAGCACTTACCGCCCTCTTGAGAAATTGTTTGAAGTGAGGTCCAGACTGTAGTTATGATGCTTGGAACTTTTATTGAAGAACTTCAGGGAGAGATGTAGAGGAGGGTTAGTATCATCCAGGCAGATGTAGACTCCATTACTTTCCAAAGGGTGTTGTTACTGTCTCCATGCACAGCAGGGCAAGCACCTGACACTGCATTACTTGAATTAGAAGTTATTGATCCTTGACTTTAGCAGTAGCAACCACTGGACCTGCTGCCAACAGGCTCCAGGGTGATTCCATTGCTAGTCCCAAGTCCTTTAGGCCTAGTCAGCTCAGTCAGTCCAGCGCAGCCTCCCCGCAGGCAGGGCCTGGGGGAGGAAGAAGAGAGCTCACGTGGTCCACCCCAAGTATTTACTCTTCCCCCAGAATGCTCCACTGCCTATCATTCAACAGTTATTGGCTGGAGAGGGATTTCCACTCCTAGCAATCCTATTGGTTGCTCTGTTCTATCACCAGGGCACACCCTGCAGTACCCCAGGCAGCAGAAAGATGGCAAGCAATGATAGATTGTTTAGGGGGGAAACCACATGAACCAAAACTAGAAATTAGTATCATACCACATACAATCTGATAAATACTAGATTTAATAGCACCCTTTCTAATAGGGCACTACATGTGCATTCAATTTCCTTTGGATGGTAACCAGCATTGGTGAGGAGGAGCAAACAAACTTGGCTACTCCCTGAGGGTTTAGAATTGAAGACATTCAACGGTGTGCAATGTGAGGGGACAACTTGTGAGCATCCTGAACCATGTAGGACTATTACCAAATGCTAGCCTTGCCAGGAAACATATCTTGCCTCTTCCACAAAGACAGGCAGTACCACACACAGCACTGTATTTACTGTATAGTCTACAAAGCTAAGCAGCGTAGTGTAGATATATGCTCTGGCTTTTTTCAAAGCACTACAAGGGTCAGCAGTGGGAGGTTCCTCCAAGTGGGGGATTATTATCTGGTGTGTTTTTTTAGACACTGAGCTGACGAGGTCAATGTACAAAGTTCTCATTGTTTTTTATCTGCTTTGGTTGAAATTGTTTCAAGCTACTGAAGTTCAGTAAAAGTTATCTAACATATTTTCTGTGCCTGCCTTTTGTCCAGTGTCACCTGTGCAGCAGCACAAGCCCCTCAGCTTTACACAACTCATCACAAACATTGATCTACAGATGTCTTCAACTGTTTTTTTGTTAGTGTATATAGTACAATATTTAATCAAATATATCTGGTAAAAGGTAATGATAAATAAAAATGCAGTGTGATTACTCCTTATAGCCCACTATCTTCATGATTTGGCATACTGATCATTCAGGGATGACCTTCTGCACTCCAGTATTGTAAAGAGGGGTTATTTCAGTAGTTGGGAACCACCTCTCAGCTTGAACAAGCCTTGTCATTCTTTTGTTTTTGTTAACTGAAATGCCAATTACTTTTTCATTGTTTTTTTTCACTATTATTTATAAACTCTGGACACTGTGGCATTTGAAAATCCCATAAATCCTGCAGTTTCTGAGATGCTGTAGCTACCACATTTGGCACGTAGAAATATTGTTCACAGTCACAGATTACATAGTTTGTCTATTCTAAGCTTTGGTCGGGTAAAACCTTTAACCATGTCTGTATTGATATATGTAATGATCTGCAGTCACAATACTGTATGGCAATCTGCATTAAAAAGTAATTGTCTCTCAATTGCCTCAGACCCAGTTAATATTGAAACCAATTCTGAATGGATGATGTGCTGTTCAGTTTTTAAGGAATTTGCTTGTATTATTTTCATAATAGATCCAAAAAAATAAGGTGCCTGTACCACATTTTAGGACAGCGGGTGGGGCCATGGGCAAAAATTCATCCAGAACCTAGTTTATTGTACATATAGATACAGCCTAATAATATAAAAACATTTCTTCAAAACTGCAATTTTTCCCCATCAATTAAAATCGATCAAGTAAAACATCAGGCATTTTCAACCCACTGGTACTAGGGCAATCACATCTTCTGGCATCAATTATTTTATTGACACACATTTTATTTCTGGGGAAAACTACCAAAATACCAAATAAAAACTATTGTATCAATCATTGTCACCATCAATCCTGGTACCTTAAAAGTCTGAATAGACTCCTCTTTGTATTGATCAAATGTTTTAATAATATGCTCTCTCTATTTCTTTACCAGCAAACCAGCCTATGTGACACCCCTTATACCCCCCTACCTTCCTCAAAGGAAATGTTCCCAATAATCTTCCCCAACTCAAACCTTGCTGGAGGATGGGAGCCTTCCTTAAAGTTCAACAAGCTGATTCTTACTAATGCATATGCCAAACTATTTCTGAATTTTTCCCATGTATGTCCCATTCAAGCAAAATCCCTTAAGGAAAGGACAATGTCCTCTACTGGCACAGGGCGAGTACAGTTTTACTACTACAACAATTTCTTCATTATAATGTGGAATAATCTTCACTCCTTCCAAACACTTGCCCTCACAACTCCTCTCAACAATGGAAAGCAAGTCTTTATAAACCTCTCCACCAACACAACGTTAAACACCCTCCAACTCAGATAAACCAGCAAAACCAAAACTTCCTTGTTCTGGATCCCAAAGACCACTTTCAGAATTTCTCTCACAAACACCAAATCCTTCTCACATCCAAATCATGTTTAGTACGAACCCCACCACATTCTCAATGTGTACATATTCGGGTACATCAAAGGCCTGTTAAAGGAAAATCCTCTCATCAGGCAATCACTCAGAAGCATACTCCTTAATAGTAGCATTTGATGCTTCGGGTACACCACGATGCCGAGGTGGACTGGTGCTTACTATCCTCTAACTAAGACACTTGATCTGACTGGGTGGCACAGTGGCATAGTTGTGCACCAGCCCTTAGGGATTACTGCATCAGGAACTTGCAATTTTCTGCAGCAGTAATCCCAAATCTACAATTAACAAGCGGCAAATTAATGATCGGGTGACGGGTGATAGCGGATGCATTTGAAAGTGGCAGAACGCTGGCACACCTTAATCATACGTGATACAATTACATACGTTTAGGAATCAATCGCTATCCCTGGAAACACAATCAATGCATCCAGAGATAGTGATTGATTCCTAACCGCAAGTAATTGTATCACATACAATTGCATGCTGTGTTTCAGCATTCTACCGCTTTCAAATGATCATTAGCTTAAATGGGTGACAGCTGCTGCTTGTAAATGGTAGATTTGGGATACCTGCTGCAGGAAATCTCAAGTTCCTAAAGGTGGCCATACACCTTACAACCATTGTACAACTTTTTTTGTCCAGAGATCTCACCCTCATTAAATTTTCGTTCAAACAGCCCATCATGCACAGATCAATGTAGTTTAAATTAACGTCCGTCAGCACCACTAACTGGCCGGTTTTTGGCGATCAAAAGAACAGATTTTCATTTGAGCGTGTGCAGTTTTTATCTTGAGATTTTTGTTTTACAAAATCGCCACAAACCCGTTGATTTTCGTCCAACTAGACGAAATTTTCTAGCCTGCTTGAAAGATGAAAATTGGCAGCTAATTGTAAGGTGTATGGGCACCTGAACGCAGGATTCCCTAAACGCACCCACATTGTAGGTGTGAATGTAGCCTTACCCAGAGGGATGTAAAGAAATGATTTGTATGGCTTCACTTGCAATCCTAAGAGGAATAATAAACTTCTTTTTGGATCAGTGATGGAAGTGGGACAAACAAAAACCGTCTGTTTTAAAGAGCATCCTTTGTGTATTTCAGTGGGGTATCTAGCTGTTGCGTTATGTTTACTTAAGAAAATCTTGACCTTACCTAAATGGGTGCTTTACACACAATTAGGTAAAATACTACTTAAAACCTTTGTGTCTGAGTTTTATTTGGAATAATCTATACTGTTGTGTGCTTGTGACTCCAGTGTGTTATCATCCAACATGTAAAAAAAGCATGTAAAGGAGACAGTGGTATAAAAGTCATCCAACATCAACCTCGGGCTTCTTGCATCAATACTGTATACAAGTGAAGCCTCTGATTGACCAGCTATGTCTAAAGGCACTCCATGCATTTTCCACAGATACCACATGTCCACTGCCTTGGCACTGACTACATGAGTGGCACTAGACTAAACAGTTTCAAGCATTACAGATTAAAATGACTTGTTTCTGTACATTCTCAAGCTTTAATATTATTTCGGAAGGGAAGGGGGAGGAGATATTGATAGAAAAATCTGAGAGCATAAGTCTGCTTTAATTATTACTATGACCAATTGTTTTTGTGTTTGAATTAATAAATGCACAGAAGGCAAATCCGTGTAAATTTTTGTTTCTATTAAAAAGTGTATTTTCATTGAAAGCTTTCAACCACCTTTTAGGAGTACAGGCAGAATGTAACCTATATAACTTTTTATTGAGCAAGACCTGACATTTCAGCAGGGTCCTGGTAAGGTCACAGAGTGATGTTCAGGTCCTCCTGTGAGCAGAGCAGAGCCCACATTGTAGGGGTGGGACTCCAGTGCAGCACAGGGAGGTGTGGGACTGCTATCATGTAATTTGCACTGAGCATGTGCATGGAGCTCAACTTCCAGCTTTTTTTGGTCTGGGAAAAAAGAAATTCCACAGTCATCTAGGAGGCACAGGAGGAAGCAGAGCTCACAAGGCAAATATGCTCTTTATTACATTGATGATTTTGTAGCTGCACATATTGTTTTCTAACCTCCCCATTTTCTTTGCAGAAGATAGCTGATCAAGCATATTTACCCTCCGTGTCCTCAGCCAAGGAGGACAATGGTACTAATCCAGGTGCCAGGACTTATCCTAGGTAATGACAGTAGAAAGTGTGTGTATTGAATGAATGTGATTTTGACTTACGTAGAAGAGTGTGCAAAACTGTACTGTGATGCTGCTGATGGTTACAGCATTTTGTCACTACAATTAGTCTTATCAGTTTAAGGATTGTAAGGTGAGCTTTAAGATTTAGTTTAGCTATTCAGTATCTTTATTGTATTATGCGTAGAGGTATATAGTGCATTTTGTGATTACACTATGATATGCAAACAGTTATCTACTGTATACTACAGTTTGCACCATTTCTCTTTAATTCTACTGTATAATGACATTTAAAATGTTCCCATGATGGGGCAAATTAATCTTGTCTTCCATGTGTGACGGAGAGGTTTCAGGTGGTCTTTTATTAAAGGAAAACTAGCAGGGTGTGTCAGGCAGGGGTCTGTTCCCAATTAAGTTGTGTAAGATGCAGCCCCCAGCGTTCTGAGTTAATAACTAACTGAATCTCTTAGTATGCATGAAGCAATCTCGGCTATGCGAAAAGAGTAGGAAAGTTAATTTTCACCATGAGAAACCGTTATACATCAGTCCTCAGCTCACATTCAGACAAGTTTAAACACTGTTTTTTCCTCAATGATATTTGTGGAACTACTTAGTTCAGCATGCCCTTTAGGATCTCTGTTTCAAAGCCAGTGAACCACGACTGGTGTTTTGTAGAGCATGATCTGTCTTTCTTATGGTATAGGCACATAAAGTAAACCTGTTTTAGGACTTTTTGCTGCTTTTCCCTGATTTATCAAGGATACTCCCTATGGAATTTGCGGACTTTGACTTAATTTGCAAGTCAAACAATACTGCATGCAGTTTAATTAATGACTTGTTTTCTGAAGGAAAAGGTAGCTGGGTTGTCCTTTGCTAAGAAAATCCTGCCTTTTCAGTCTGTTCTCTAACTTGAGGGACGTCATGGAAATTATACATTTTCTTTGTTCTTGTGGTACTTGTACTGCTGACTTCCTTTTAAAAAAATATGCCACAAACTGTTTAAAATTTTGTGGAAACATGATTCATTTCCTTGTATGGATACTTAGAGCTCAACAAAAGAGCTTTACATCCTGTAGCACTCAAATGGTTATTTACCCCCAACAGTGGGGGTAGGAAAGAAAAGCAATATCAGCTCTGCAAGTCCTAACAGCTTTGTAGATAAGGTTTGAAGGGAGCATTGTGTTTGAAGCTGCCTAGCTTTAGCCTCCCATCGAATAGCATCATTACCACCTATAAAGTCTGAATAGGATGAATTGTTCAGCATTTCATGCATGTGGTAGAGAATCATTTGAAGCAGGAACACAGGGTACATACACCAGTTATATACAGTTATGAGCTGGACACAGACGTGCATCTAGCACCAACAGTTTGCACAGTTCCCATTGCTCTAGTGATAAGTTGACATGCAGTGTTAGGTCCCTCACCACTGTGGGTATTATTAGCTCAGCAGAGAAATTATTGGCGATCTCTTACCCTATTATATGAGCATGTCAACCCACTTCATTCAACACTACATGCACCATTATGTTGATCTCTCTCCAATATAGCGTTGTGCTAAAGGCATGGTATCTGTACAGTAAGCTCATGCTATTACACAGCGCAATTCCCCACAAGCTAGGTGCGTTGTCATTCATTCCAAATGGCACCACAAAGTGTGTGCTAAAAAAAAAAGTAACGCATGCAATACTTTTTTCCCTGCACTTCAACATGCTCTAGAGCACTTATGAGAGGCGCATCTGGGTGCCATTCAGAATGAATGGCAATGCAACGTGCCAGCACACTAAACACACATATACTGTGCCTTAAGCGTAAACCTATGGTGTAAAAAGGCGTATGGTGCAAAAGAGTTGTAAACACTTTTGAGTGGAATTTATCAAAACTGGGGCAGCCAAAATCTGGAGCAGCTGTGCATGACAACCAATCAGCTTTTCTCTTTCATTTTCAAAACTTAAGCGAACAAACTGAAGAGAGAAGGTGATTGGTTACCATGCGCAACTGCTCCAGATTTTGCCTGTTGCAGTTTTGATAAATTGCCCCCTTTATCTGTTGGGCTGCATTTTTCCGCACACTGCTGCATATATATGGTGTGAACAGTGCACATAGAAACCAACCACACCGTACATGTGCAGTGGTGTGCTGAAAAACGAAGCTTGGCGAACATAGTGTGAATGAGCCCTAAGAGTGAGACCGACTCATTTCTGTGCTCAGATATTCCAGTTGGAGGGAAACATGCAGTCTAATTCTATTAAAGTGCAATGAGCTTATCTGTCCTCGCCCTTCATACCAATCTTTCTTATTGAAAACCACATTGCTAAATTTAAATACGGTAATAAGCAATTTAAAACTGGCAGTTTGTTGCTCCTTCTATAGATATATTTCAGAAACTGACTGACAGTGACTGACAGCTGGCTCTGCCTATCTAGAGGCACAGCCAGCTGTACCCGCACCCTCCCCCGTCCGTTCCGCCAGTCAGCGCTGGCGGATCGGAGCGGAGAGGTGGGAATCCAGCCCCTCCCCTGTCACAGCAGAGAGCCGTGACAGGATCGAGAGGTGAGCGAACGCCGGTATGTGTTAGCTCACCTGACGATCTACTGAGCCGACCTGTGACAGTCTCATTGTCACAGGTCGGCTAGAACTATGAGGTGAGTGAAAAGCACTCGCCTCATAGTTCTCCTTTTAACTGTGTGGATGGAGTAATCTCCACCTGGGCCAATGTGTTGCACTTTTTCCATCTGACCACAGAAAATTCCTTGAGTAGTGTAGACTGGGGTAGGCAAATGTGGCTCTCTAGCTATAGTGTAACTACAAGTCCAACCATGCATTGTATGCTTCTGATAGCCACAAGGATGACTGCCAGGGGCATAATGGGATTTGTAGTGTCACTACAGCTAAAGCGTGGAGGCTGCCTACCCCTGGTATAAACAAAGTCAAGCTTATCTAAATGCAAACAATGCTTTCAATGCAGTACCACCTTTCCAGCAATGCTCCATGCTGACCTGAAAGTTATTGACTAACTGAAAATGGGTGCTGATTTTTTTTTTTTTTTTTTTTTTTTTTTTTTTAAATTTTTT